TAGTTCTGAGGTCATTGGCCATGATGCAGTAATGGGGCCTGCCCATTTCTTTCAGGCCCCTGGCCTGTAGTTTGTCTAGGTCTGGTGACTTGAACTCCTCCAGGGTGGTGAGTTATCTTTGGTGGCTGCTTGTCTTGAATTCCTGGACCCCCTCCACCCCTGCCTGTAGCCAGAGGCTAAAAAAGATGAGGACCTTTGACCTGACCCCATCCACCCACCCCAAGTCCCGGGCCTCTCGCTTCTTTGACCCCTCTTTTCCCCAGTAGAGCTTTAAGAAGAGGCTTCTTGTTGTCCTGCACAGGCCTGGCCCACCTCAGCTCAGGCCAGCTTTAGAGCTCTAAGAGGTTCTTGCAGGTCTGTGCCATGATTTTACACTCCTCCTCTGATCTGGCTTCTGTCTTTCGTGTCTTATTTGCTAAGAATCAGGTGTGGCTAGAGTCATGGGATTGGTAGGTGATGCAGTAGAAAGGGCCTTGGTACTGGAGTCAGGAAGACTCATTTTTCTGAGTTCACCAGCCTTGGATACTTCCTAGCTGTGTGACCCTGGACAAGTCACTTAATCTTCTTTGCCTCGGTTTCCTCATCTGTAAAATGGACTGGAGAAGAAAGTGGCAAACCACTCCAGTATCTCTGTCAGGAAAACCCCAAATGGGGTCACGAAGAGACAGACGTGACTGAAAATGACTGACCAGCAACAACAGTTGATTGCCCCACGCTCCTGCTAACTTCCAAAGCTGGCCTTCAATGGGCAGCAGCCAGTATGGCCAAGGCCTTCAGTTTCTCACGCAAAGCTGTGTTCCCCTGAACGGGCTATGCTTTCTTGATTCCTGATGGCAGTGGTATCATTTGTTCCTGTTGGAATCACCAGTAATGGGTGGATAGTAAGCATCAGACTTGCCAAGCTTCGGAAGGCTCTTTAGCCCATCTTGGACACATGCCCCAGAAAGGGGGCAGTCTTTCTGTAGTAGCACTGATTTCTGGTTCACATCCCCACCCACCTTGGCTATCACTGTCTCCTCAGACCCTTCCTCCGATCCGCACTGGTTGATCCCTCGCCCACCTGTGGCTCCATGTCACCATTCCTTGGATGACAAGCAGCTGCTTCTCCCTGCAAGGGGCTGCAGTGTCTCCTGCCTCTTTGGAAAAAGCTCACATAGCTGTGTGCTGCTTAGCTTCTGAAAGAGGGTAGGTCAGACCATGCCAGGAATGTTGGATTTAGTTTTGGGAGATACATTTGAGAACATGACGAAGGACTCATTGAAGGAGGGGGTGGGAATTCGGTAGGTAGAAGCAAGTGAGGGCATTCTAGGCATGGGAAACCTTGTCATGAAGAGCAGACTATGTCCTGGGATGGGGGCGAGGTAATGGTCAGAGTAGTCCAGTTTGGCCAGGCAGCAGAGAGATGAGTGGGGAGTAACAAGGAAGGGGGCTAGGAAGGTGGAATGGTGCCAGACTGGAGGGCCTCAAGTACCAGGCAAAAGAATTGGAAGTTGGTAGGCAATAGAGAGCCACTGAAGATAATTTTAATGGAATAATCCCTTGAAAAAGACTTTTTTATGCATAAGAGTGATTCTTTTGGTAGCCTTATGAAGAATGAATTAGAAAGATAGGTAGGAGTGGGTGGAGAATGAAAGTCCAGGTAGGCAGGTAATAATAATAGCTAACATTTATTAAGCACCTACTCTGTGCCGGGCACTATGCTAAGCACTTTACAAATATCTCATTTGATCCTTACTTAGAACAATCCTGAGGAGTGGGTGCTATGATCCCCATTTTACAGATGAGGAAATGGAGGCAAACAGGTGAAGCAACTTGCCCAGGGTCACCCAGCTAGCACATGTCTTAGGCCCAGGACTTTATCCTCTGTGCCACCTAGCTGCCCCAGGTGATCGAAGGCCTCTATTTAAGGCTGGTGGTAATAAGGGATCAAGGGGAGAGGACAGATGTGCCTGCCAGTGGTGTTGCAAAGGGCCAGTTGGTAAGGTCGGTCATCAGTCGATACTTGCTTCTCCTTCCTCTCTCATAGCCAAAGAGGACCTTAAGGGCACAAGCATGGGAGGGCAGGTGCATCTTGCTACCAGAGGCAGGACTAGGGACGTTAAAAAGAGGCCCAAGCTTAAAGGGCAAGGTAATGAGGAAAGCAACCCAGAAGGACTTCCCTGAGCCCGTGGCCTCAGGCGTGGAGCGAGGTGTGCGCTCTGGTGTGGCCGGCGTGGCCGGCGGTGACTGGCTTGGCTTTGCTCTGGCTCTTTGTTTGTGGAGGGAGGTGGCAGCAGTGGGTTGATTTTTCTAAAGCATAAAACTTCTTCTGGCTCCTGCTGCTGTTGTCTTTTAGCTCATGGACTCAATTGCTGACACCTGTTGAGTTTGAGGTGCCGGGTGGAGCTGACCTCCTGTATGCAGACAGTTAGAGATGCAGGCTTGGAGCTGGGGGGGAGGGGCAGGGAGCCAGAAGTGAAGATAGAAGTAGCGGATTCATCGGCTTTAAAGTTGTGGGAGAGAAGATAAGGAAGAGTCAGTGTTTCTTTAGTATGTGAAGGTCTCTGTTCTTAATCGAGTTTTACGATAACCCTGAGAGGTAGGTAGTACAGGCATTACATTTTACAGATGAGGAAACCGAGGCTCAGATAAGTGATGTGACTTGCCCAGATCGTGCAGCTGGGAAGTGTCAGGAGTGGAATTTAGATGCAGGTCTTCCTAATCCCTGCTTCCTGGGGCAGCTCGGTGGCTCTGTCGTAGATGGAGTGCTGGGCCTGGAGTCAGGCCTCAGACACTTGCTAGCTGTGTGACCGTGGGCAAGCCACTTCACCCTGTTTGCCTCGATTTCCTCATCTGTACAATGTGCTGGAGAAGGAAATAGCAAACCAAGAAAACCCCAAATAGGGTCACTAAGAGTTGGGCACAACTGAAATGACTCAACAAAAGCTTCTTGATTCCAAGTCCATTTACTGTCATGTCCCTTCTCCATGAAGAGAATAAGGGAAATGCCATCATGAAAGGATCAGGAAAAAGATGAGACATCAAGAGAGACTTTAACTTTGGTTAAAGTCAAAGGAAGGAAAAGCAGGACAGTTTGATGTCAGTGGTTAGCAGGGTCAGAAGCTTCCAGAAGGTCCAGAAAAATGAAGATGGAAAGGAAAACCATTGGGTTTGGTGGCTGAGGAAACTGGTGACTTTGACAGGGCCATTTCACTGGTGGGGTGGAAGTCTGAAGGCAAGAGTGGTGGGGAAAACAGAGGCCTTGGACAGAGACCACTTTTTCAGGACATTTAGTAGTGAGAGGGTGAGAGGAGAGAAATGGGCTCAGGTCTAGGTGGGCCAGAAAGGTCGAGAGGAAGCTTTTTTTCTTAAGAAAATGTTTGTGAACAGATGGAAAGGAGCCAGTGGTGAGGGAGAGATTCTAAAAGATGCATGGTAGAGAGTTGCTGCCTGACAGAGTGAGGCCCTGAAGGACGTGGGAGGGGAGGGGAGGGGAGGGGCACTAATGTCTACCACCGCTTCTATGCCCAGAGTGAGAAAGACAAGGATGAGGGGGATGACGACAAATTAGGGAAACTTGAGGAGCCAGAGCTGAGAAAGCTTGGTCAGATGGCCTTAGCCTCTCAGTGAAGTAAAACAAAGCTGGGCACGGGCTCTGAGTGCTGGGAGAATGGTGAGGGCAGTGGGATGAAGCAATGATTTGAAGCAGTTTCTGGCAGTCATGGAAGAGGGCAGGCACTAAGAAGGCTTGAGGAGTGTTGATGTAATAGCAAGAACCCGACTGAGTTGTCAGACCATGAACTCCTAGTGGGTGGATTCCTTTTTTGTCACTTTGCCCAGGAATGATCACATGTGGGCCAGTGGCCCAGGGCTGAGGATTTGCAGGGTGGGTCCTAGGAAAGGTTGAGGGAGTGGACTGAGCCAAGGAATCTGGGATAGTAGAGCATGACAGGCCATGTGGTGCCATGTTGAGTGGTGAAAGCAAATGAAGCCAGGGTCAGGGAGATGGACTGGAGAAGTCAAGAGGGGGGTCATGGATCAGCAACAACAGTGAAAGGCAGGAGTGGGAATGAAAGAGCTTGTGGTCAGTGGGAAATTCCCAAGAATCTCTTGCTCTTGGGAGAGTGTGACCCACTTCTGAGATACCACAGTGATGATGAAGGTGTGGCCATGTCAGTGTCAGGACCTTGGAGAGCGCTTGGTGATCCAGTGATTCCATTGAAAGGCCCTGTGTCTCAACAAAAATATTCCCAAGTGGCCTATTTCTGATAGTCCCAAATTGGGAACATTTATGGTCAACTTGGAGACTAGCTGAAGAAAGTAGTCTTCCAAGGTAATAGAATATTATGGTGCCACCAAAATGATGACAAATGAAGCCTCCCAGGTATTACGGAATGTCTTCTTTATGCCAGGACCGAGTGGAGCCCTCAGGGCCGGAGGCAGCAAGACAGTGAGTGGGATGTGACTTTTTATAAAGAAAGAAGACAAAGACAGGAGTAGTAGCAGAACTTCAGATTACTTGGGCTGGAAGAGGTTTGGAGCCTTCTTGACTTCATTGGGTTCCCAAGGGTTTGTGTAAAATGTTACCCCTTATTTTATACATTTGGTTTTTTGTTGCTGGTTCCCAGTAAAACAATTAAGATCCAAACGTGTACACCCCTCCCGATTTTCCTTCCTCCCTTTACGCCTTGTAATCACTCAGTTGTCAGATCTCCTTTTGGTAACATGTCTCTGATAGTCGAGTTTAAGCTCTTCTCACCCCCTCTGACTCGGATTATGGAACTAATTTCATGCCTCATTTCCCCAGTAGTGTGACTTAGTCTGTGTAGATTTCTTCTCATTGCTGGGTAATGCCAGCTTTTGAGCGCAAGCTTCTCATGACTCGAATTTGTTTTCCTCTTTGTACTTGTCTCCTCAGTGCCTGGTATGGCGCTGGGGACATAGGAGCCACATAACCAGTACTTGTTGATTAATTGAGAAACCAACTAGTGTGGACGTGTATGTTTACTCCCTTTCTGCAGAATTCATGTCATACAATGGAGGAGGGCTGAATGTTCCAAATAAGATGATGGACTTCTTAGAGGAGCCTATCCCTGGAGTGGGAACTTATGAAGATTTCAATACCATTGACTGGGTGAGGGAGAAATCCAGAGACCGAGACAGGCACCGAGAGGTAAGCAAGGGTGGCAGGTCACAGCCAAGGAATCTGATGGGGACCTTATGGGAATAAATGGAAGTTTGATCATGTGCTTTCCCTCTCCTTAGTTGAGCGCTCTGGCCTCCCTTAGCCTCTTGTAACCTCTAGATGAGAGGCCATGAAGAGTGTCATGATTCAGTTCTTTTTCACGATAGAATGCCTGCTACTGTGATACCTACAAGTTTGGCTCTGGATTCGCGTGTTTTCTTCATCGTGGGCAGGGGGGGATGTGGGTGTGTGGGGTGTGTTTCTCTGAATCATTCCTATTTGATGGTGCCTCTTTTGCCCTGGGGCAGGCCTGCACAACCTGCAGCCCGCCAAAGGATTTTGGCAAAAAGCATGGAGGAGAACATCCATTTTTCGAGAGCTGCCCTGGGGCATATATGGCTGACCTGGATGCCTGAAAGTCTTTGGGAATGTGAGTGCATGACAGTGGAATGTATGGAGTGGAGGCAACTTTGAAAGCACCGGTCCCTACAGTCTTTGTGTTACCTCAGATGTGGCTTCCGAGTACTTGGGGTGATGTTCAGGCCTTGCTTCAGTCTCTTCAGAGACAACATTGGAATGTAGAGTTTTCACAGGGGTTAAAAATGTTATGTTTGCAGAGAGCTTCCTAATGAATGGGAAATAGTAGTTTGTCACTGTGATACTAGTAATCCATTGTGAAGACACCAGAAAATATTTTGCTACTAAAAGAATAATATATTAAATTGGAATTAAGTATGTTCTCTGAACATTTTTTGAAATTAGACATTTTTCTAGAGCATGTCACTTATATCGGGTGGATAACTTTTTTTTTTAGAATTTCCTTGAACGGTGGAAGGGACCTCAGATGTCCTCTAATGAAACCCATGTCACAGGCCTGCCTCCATTCTCCTCAACTCCTGCAATGACAGTGTTCTTCGCTATTGAACCCTTTTGAAATAGCACTTGCTAATTATGCATAGCTTGTGCAGTGCGGATTATAGGTCTTGCCATGGTTTTCTGAAACCACCCCCCCTCATCATTTCTCATGGCACAGTAGTACTCATTCACAATCATTTGCCACAACTTGTTCAGCCATTCCCCGATTGATGAGCATCCCCTCAATTTCCAATTATTTACCACTACAAAAGAGCTACCATTAATATTTTTGTACATATAGGTCCTTTTCCTTTTTACTTTGATCTCTTTGGGCTACATACCTAGTAGTGATATTGCTGGTCAAAGGGTATGCACGATTTTATAACCCTCTGGGCATAATTCCAGATTGTTCTCCAGAGTGGTTGGACCAGTTCACTACTCTACCAACAGTGCATTATTGTATCTATTTTACCTCATCCCCTCCAGCATGTATCATTTCTCATAGGTGTGAGGTGGTACCTCAGAGTTGTTTTAATTTGCATTTCTCTAATCAATAGTGATTTAAAGCATTTTTTTCTTGTGACTATAGACAACTTTGATTTCTTCTTCTGAAAACTGCCTGTTTCTATCCTTTGACCATTTATTAGTTGGGGAATGGCTCTTATTTTTGTAAATTTGACACAGTTCTATATTGAATATATATTTGAGAAATGAGGCCTTTTCAGAGAAACTTGGCTTAAAAAAATTTTGGGGGGGGTGGGGCTGGGCAGTGGGGTTAAGTGACTTGACCAGGGTCACACAGCTAGTAAGTGTTATATGTCTGAGGCTGAATTTGAACTCAGGTCCTCCTGAATCCAGGGCTGGTGCTCTACCAACTGTGCCACCTAGCTGCCCCAAGGTTTAAAATTTTTTGATGTTACTTCATTGTCTGTGGTACCTTTAGAAGATGTAAGTTTCCCTGATTATCTCTTTTAATTAGGTCTATTTTTGTTTTATCTTTGAGATCATGATTGCTACCCCTGCCTTTTTTATTTCAGTTGAAGCATAACAGACTCTTCTCTGGCCCTTTATTTTAACTCTAGGTGTGACTTTCTGTTTCAAGTGTGTCTATTGTAAACAATATATTGTTGAATTCTGGTTTCTATTCCATTTTGCTATCTACTTCTGTCTTATGGCTGAGCTCCTCCTATTCACATTCACAGCTATGATTACTAACTGAATATTTGTCTCCATCCCATTTTCTTCTTCTTTCTTCTTCTCTCTCTCTTTTTATCCTGTCCTTCCTCAAAAGTCTATTTTGCTTCTAACCACTGCCTTCCTTAATCTGTCTTCCCCTTTATCATTTCCTCTCTTTCCCCTCCTGTTTCACTATTGGGTAAGTTGTATTTCTGTACAAAACTGCATGTGTGTGTATGTGTGCATATATATACTAATTCCAATTAAAGTGAGCTTCAGGCATTGCCTGTCACACCCACCACCACCATTTTCCCCTCTATTCTAAAAGCTCTTCCTTGTGTGCCTCTTTTATGTGAGAAAATTTTCGTCATTCTACCTCTCCCTTCCTCCTTCTCCCAGTGCATCTCTCTCTCTCACCTCTTCATTTTTTATATCATTATAATATAATTGACTCACATCCATGTCCTCTATTTAAACTCCTTTTAACTGCCCTAATAATGAGAGTTCTTAGGAGTTACATGTATCATCTTCCCATATTTGAATGTAAACAGTTTAACTTTATTGAATCCCTTATGATTTATCTTTCCTATTTACCTTTTTATGCTTCTCTTGAGTCTTGTATTTAAAAGTCAAATTTTCTATTCCACTCTGGTCTTTTCATGAGGAATGCATGAAAGTCATCTATTTCATTAAATGTCCATTCTCCCCCCCCCCAAAGGATTATGCTCAGTTTTGCTGAGTAGGTTATTCTGGTTTGTAATCTTAATTCCTTTGCCTTCCGGAATATCATATTCTAAGGCCTCTACTCTAATGTGGAAACCCTAAATCTTGTGTGATTCTAACTGTGTCTACGTGATATTTGAATTTTTTCTTTCTGGCTGCTTGCAATATGTTCTCCTTGACATGGGAGCTCTGGAATTTGGCTATAATATTCCTAGGAGTTTTCATTTTGGGATGTATTTCAGGAGGTGATCAGTGGATTCTTTCAGTTTCTATTTTACCCTCTGGATCTAAGATATCAGGGCAGTTTTCGTTGATAATTTCTTGAAATATGATGTCTAGGCTCTTTCTTTGATCGTGGCTTTCAGGTAGTCCAATATTTTTTAAATTCTCTCTCCTGGATCCATCTTCTAGGTCAGTTGTTTTTCTAATGAGATAGTTCACATTTTCTTCTATTTTTTTCATTGCTTTGACTTTGTTTTATTGTTTCATGATGTCTCATGGAATCATTAATTTATACTTGCCCAATTCTAGTTTTTAAGGAATTATTTTCTTTAGTGAGATTTTTGTACCTTCTTTTCCATTTGCCCTATTCTGCTTTTTAAGGAATTCTTTTCTTCAGTGAATATTTGTGCCTCTTTTACCATTACATCAGTTCTGTTTTTTGAGATGTTATTTTCTTCAGGTTTTTTTGTCCCTCTTTTTTTATTTTTTATTAATTCATTTTTAGTTTTCAACATTCACTTCCATAAGTTTTTGAGTTTTAAATTTTCTCCCCCTCCCTCCCCACCTCCCTCCCCAAGATGGCATGCAATCTGATATAGGCTCTACATATACATTCCCATTAAACGTATTTTCACATTAGTCATGTTGTAAGGAAGAATTAGAACCAACAGGAGGAACCACAAGAAAGAAGAAACAAAACAAAACAGAAGAAAAAAAAGAGCAAATAGTATGCTTCGAGCTGCATTCAAACTCCAGAGTTCTTTCTCTGGATATGGATAATATTTTCAATTATGAGACTTTTAGAGATGTGTTAGATTCTTGCATTGCTGAGAAAAGCTAAGTCTATCAAAGTTAGTCGTTGCACAGTGTGGCTGTTACTGTGTACAATGTCCTCCTGGTTCTGCTCACTTTACTCAGCCTCAGTACATACAAGTTTTTCCAGGTTTTTCTGAAGTCCGCTTGCTCATCATTTCTTACTGCACAGTAGTATTCCATTACATTCATATACCACAACTTGTTCAGCCATTCCCCAATTGCTGGGCATCCCCTCAATTTCCAATTCTTTGCCACCACAAAAAGAGCTGCTATACATATTTTTGTACATGTGGGTCCTTTTCCCATTTGTATGATCTCTTTGGGATACAGCGCTATAAGTGCTGGGTCAAAGGGTATGCTCATTTTTATAGCCCTTTGGGCATAGTTCCAAACTGCTCTCCAAAATGATTGGATCCATTCACAACTCCACCAACAATGTATTAATGTTCTAATTTTTCCACATCTTCTCCAACATTTATCATTTTCCTGTTTTGTCATATTAGCCAACCTGATAGGTGTTGTCCCTCTTTTACCAAGTTAATTCTGTTTTCATTTTTTTTCTCTTTTTCTTTTTCATTTTAATTTTCTTTTCTTTCTTTCTTTCTTTCTTTCCTCCCTTTCTTCTTTTTTAATAGGCAAATGAGACCATCTTTTGCTTCATTTCTTACCTAACCTTAAATCATTGAATAGGTGTTACCTCTGACAAACTGAGACCTGGGAAAAACCTTATAAGGAATATAAATTTCTTGAAATAGAGCTCTGGGCACCAGGCATTGATAAAGCCATTGGGATTCAAATGGAGCTACTAGACTATGCCTTAAACCCAAATCAATCTGGCTTTCACTGATTGGCCAATAATGGACCCCAACCCAAGCCTCAGTTGGTTCTTGTATGGGTTTTATTGGCTCAGAGTGAGTGTAAATAGCAATTGTTTCTGTTCTGGCCAGAAACCCTGAGGGTCTTCCCCTCCCAGATTGGTTGAGACTTTTTTTAAAGTAGGTAAAAGAGGCCTTTTTTTTTTTTTGCCTCATTCATTGCCTAGTCTTAATCACCAAATGGGAGTTGCCTGAGACAAACTGAGACCTGGAAAAGACCTTAGCTTAAAAAGTCCAAAGTCTCCCATTGCATCCGGGACCATCTCCAGTCATTCTGATCTGTCTTGCCACTTGACTCAGATGACTCTGGAGGAGAGAGTGAGGCTAGTGACTTTGCCTAGCCTTGCCTCACTTAAATCTAGTTCACTTGCAAGTCAAGATATCACCTTGCTGATGTCATTGATCCTCTTTGAGAACAAAAGATAAACAACAGTTCTCTTTTCATAATTTTCTTGCATCACTCTCCTTTCTTTTCCCAATTTTTCTTCTACCACATCTCTTTCTTTAACTCTTCTAGGAATTCTTGTTGGGCTTGGAGTCAATTAGCGTTTTTCTTTGAGGCTTTGTTTGTAGCTGTTTTTATATCATTTTCTTCTGAGTTTATGTCTTGATCTTCCCTGCCACTATAGTAGCTTTTTATGTCAAATTCTTTTTTGTTGTTGTTTGCTCATTTTCTTAGCCTGCTTCTTGACTTTGAGTTTTATGTTGAAGTTGGGCTCTGTTCACCTGCGTGTGGAGAGGTACTGTCCCAAGCTTCAGGCTTTTTTGTGCTACAATTTTCAGAGCTAGTACTAGGGGTCTGCAAGTTATTGGTGCTTCCAAAGGGATGTGATCCTGGGAGAGGTATTCCAAATTGTGTTCTTAATGATCCTTAAAACAGTGTTTTTGATGGTATTGCTTATTTATGTTATAGTGCTTCCAGTCTATTTCTAGCCACTTTAGGGCTTAGGTTGGTTTTTGTAAAAGAGAGACCATTTAATGCTTAAAGCCACACAGACCTTTATTATGGTTCATTTTTTATCTCTCAAAGAAAACTTGAGGCCTAACGTGAGCCCCCTGGGGAATGGGTAACAAAGGATGTAACTAGGGAAGGCATTTCTTGGTGTGTGAGATTCCAGAAAAGGGAAGAAGAAGGGGCATGTCGAGAGCAGAGAGAGCCCACTGCCAAATTCAGAGGTTTGGAGCTTTAATTGATAAACCTTCTTTTCCAAGAGAGACAGCGGGGAAGTCAGAGATAGGGAGAGGAGTGCCGACTAGTAACTGAGCTAATGAAATTCATGGGCATGGAGGAATCAGGATTGGTCTCAACAGAGGTGAGAGACGTCAGAAAGTGGGAATGCTCTACTGAATCCTTATTTGGCAGGTGTTTTGTAGATGCTTCTGCTGGTGCAGCTTCCAATTCCTTAGAAAATTGGGGGATTTCAGAAGTGACTTTTGTGTTAAGTCTCACTCTGTCTGCCTTTCCGGGAGACAGTGAGATTGCTTTGTTTTTGAGTGAATGTGACATGTGTGACAGAAAGGCCAGGAGTGAGCGTATCAGAGGCAGCCAGTGTATAATCTGTGCTGTGGGATGTTTCTCTGCAGATCACCAATAAAAGCAAAGAGTCCACCTGGGCCCTCATTCACCGTGTGAGCGACGCTTTCTCGGGCTGGTTGCTGATGCTGCTCATTGGGCTCTTAGCAGGTATGGTCAGTCTTCCCATTGTGCACAGGCTTGGTTGTCTTGGATGAAGGCCTTAATGCAGTTCGAAGACAACCGAGAGAGAGAGCCAAAATGGCCACTGAGTTCACTGGCTGCCCAGGCAGGGCCTCTTCTGGTGGGGAAGGGGGGGGCAGCCCTGGCACTGCCCCTCAGTGCCACAGCTGTGCAGCAGAGAAGCCTTAGCAGAGTGAACTTAGGGTTGTGTCCCAGGCGGTGAGACTCTTCCCAAACCCACGGCAGATTGAGCACTGAGCCCCAGTGTGCGTTTCTCCATTTACAAGAGCAAATAAAGATGGCACGCTCCAGAGCACCCGAGCTCATATATGGTCAATGCGGGCTAGAGTTCAAAGGCAGTGTAGGCAGCTTAGGGTGAGGAACTGGAAAGTCACAGTTGGGCGGGTTCGGGATGGGTGTGGAAGTTAGTGAAGGTGATAGAAGGAAACAGGTTTTGGAGGGTGATGGTGACTCAAGTGCAAAAGGAACCCCAGACAAGCAGAAGTGAGTGGGGGGGAGGAGTCAGCAACATTTTCAGGAGGGTAAAGAAACAGATGGAGAGCACTGAGTTCTCACATAAAGTCGGTCGCCTCTGGCATCACTTTCATGTATTGGAGTAGTGCTGGTATGAATAAAGTATCAAGAGGATGACAGTAGCAATAAGTCATCTTTTTGAAGGAACATAGGTCAGGAGAGGTCAGAATGAGGGTCAGAGGGAAACACAGAGAAATAGAATGGCTTTGGAATTTAGTGTACAGGGTGCACTAAGACTTTTGGGACATTCTGTATGTTTTAGAGAAAAAAGGGCCAAACTGTACGTGATAAGAGAATCGTGGTGTCAGGTATATTTGTCAAGTTCAGAGTGTAAGAGAAATTGCAATTTAAAAAAATAAAGTGAGATTTATCTATGTTTAGACTTTTGGTCTTCTGTAAATAAAAGTGGTCTAATTACTGAGGAAGCCAGTGCAGATATGAACTTCGCCTTTCCCCCTCCATCAGGCTCCCTAGCAGGCTTGATAGACATCTCTGCTCACTGGATGACTGACTTGAAGGAAGGAGTCTGCCTGAGGGGCTTCTGGTTTAACCACGAACATTGCTGTTGGAACTCAGAACAAGTCACCTTTGAAGACAGAGACAAATGCCTCGAGTGGAATACCTGGTCTCAGCTGCTCATCAGCAAGTCTGAGGTAGCTAACGCCCAGCAGAGCCTACTGGGAGAGGGCCTGCGCTCCTCCTTGCCAGCTCTTTGGCAATGCCTCCAGATCGCATGGTCAGCATGGGGAGCTGGGGAATCTAGCTGAGATATCACCTGCATTTTAGTACCCACTGTTGCTGTCTCTGTTTCCCCCAAGCAATTTCAGGAAAACTTGCCTGTGGCAGCCAGCAGGTGAGGGGTCACAGTGGACCCCAGCCATCATATTAGGAGCTTTATGAAGGAGAGAATTGACTCCCTCTTCTCCCTCAGCTCTTTAGCTTTCTTTTCCCAGTTCAAATGAGATCATATTTATAGAGTGCTTAGCACAGTGCCTGGCACATAGTAGGTGCTTATGAAATGCTTGTTCCCTCCCCCTCCCTCCTAGTGTGAGCCTGAATGCCCTCACACCTGGATTGCAGTAGCTTCCTAAACCATCTTCTTGCCTAAAACCGGCTCCAGCACCAACCAATTTCCAGGTCTGGGCCAAAAAACAAAAAACAAAAAAACAAAACAACATCCCATCTAGGTTTCCCAGGATTCCGAATTGCTTCTATCATGGGATAAGTTCCTTTTCTACCCCTTTGCGATGGTGGCAGCTGCTGACAAGTGGCTGAGATCAGCTCTCCTCCCCACACACTCCAGTAACGCGGAGATGCTCTCTTTCCTAATGACAGTGGGCTCCCTCTCTGTACCCCCAGCCCATGCTCTCAAGTGGAAACACCCTAAGACGCCCTCCAGGGTTCTCGAGCCTGCTTAGCTCTTGCTCACTGAGAGCCCAAGTTGTTTTTACTGTGATAAAACATCTTGTTTTCAGTGGCGCTCATATCTCAAACTCTGGAAGGGGTGAGAGTTCTCCTGAGAGTTCATGTAGATCCTGTCTCCTTCATGACCTTTCCTGAGAACCATTTTTCTAAGTAGTTCCATGCCGGATTGAGACAGCCTCGTCCAAGCCTAAGCCTTCTCTCTCGCTCTTTGTCTCTCTCTGTCTCTCTGTCTCTCTCTCGCTCTCTGTCTCGTTCTTGTTCTCTCACTCTCTCTGTCTCTCTCTGTCTCTCTCTCGCTTTCTGTCTCTTGTTCTCTCACTCTCTCTGTCTCTCTCTGTCTGTCTCTCTCTCGCTCTTGCTCTCTGTCTCTCTGTTGTTCTCTCACTCTCTCTGTCTCTCTCTCGCTCTCATTCTCTCTCATGTGTGTTTGTGTTCCAGGGAGCCTTTGCCTACATCCTCAATTATTTCATGTATGTCCTCTGGGCCCTCCTGTTCGCCCTTCTGGCTGTCTCCCTTGTCAGGGTCTTTGCACCCTATGCCTGCGGCTCTGGAATCCCTGAGGTGAGTCACTGCTGAGACATGTAAGAAAACAGTCCCCACCCCCTGGAGCCCTTTTCTCAGTGAAGCCATGGCTCAGCTCCCAGGCCAGCTCCTGGGAGCCCATGTAATCCAAAGTATATACAATACAGTGTGGACAGCCCTTTACTAGGATCCTAGAGGGGAGAGTGTGGGGCTGCCCGAGACCTTGGCATTTGTTAGAGGGGGGAGGGAGGGGAGGGAAGCTCTCTCTGATGCACTTATGAGAGACTGGCAAAGTTCACAATGTCCAGAGGCCTAAAAAATCGGAATTGATTGTTCTCGAAGACACAGAAATTTGATTAGACTCTTCATTCCCTTTGTATAATATGTCGTCAACCCTCCGTAACCTCTGGTCACGGAGTGGGGAATATACGCTAGCAGGCCGTCCCTAACCTGTCGGAAGATTTTCTAGCATTTCGCCCCAGTAGCTTGGCCCTCTGGATTCGGTTTTGCTTGGACTAACGAGGCTACTTTCCCTGACTGAGCCCAAACTGATGGACTTCTCTGGCCCCAAGAAGGCCAAGGGAAACTAGATTCGGCCCGAGCATTTGCTTTTGGGACTCTCCGTGCAGTTGATCTGAGAGTTGGCTTTTCTATACAATTGATGTCATCGAGAACCAGTTCCAATTAAAATGTTCTCCTGTTCAGTAATTCCAGTGGGATTGGAGTAACAAAGCTTGTTTAAAAACAGCCTCCACCCACTGCAGAGAAGTCCAGTTGGGCCCCACCTTCCAGACTGATTCTGTCCGCCCAGTGTTGGCTGCCTAGAATGACCACTGAGAAGGATTTACTGCAGCAGAGGACTGGCCCTTAACTAGCTGCTCCCCTAGTTCATTGAGGATGGAGAAAGGCATAGTCACATCAATAGGTTTTTGACTGGCCGCTGTGCAACAAGAGGCAATTTGTCAGATGAGCCTTTGGGGAGTGTGTATGGGATGCTGCTAAGTTAGGGAGTGCTTCAAGGTTGGCATTGCTTGTCCGTAGGTAGCCCAGGGAATATGTAAACTTTCTTGTGCTTGGACTAACAGATCAAGACGATTCTGAGTGGTTTCATTATTCGAGGCTATTTGGGAAAGTGGACGCTGATCATTAAAACCATCACTCTGGTGCTGGCAGTATCATCCGGCCTGAGCCTGGGCAAAGAAGGCCCCCTTGTACATGTTGCATGCTGCTGTGGAAACATCCTGTGCCACTGTTTCACCAAGTACAGGAAAAATGAGGCCAAGCGACGAGAGGTAAAGAAATAACAAGGGCCAAATATCAAGGGGCCTTCACGGTATTCATCCTGATGAACAAGCCTGTGGGCCCGCCTGCTGTCCTTGGAGGGCCTTGTACTGAAGAGGGAGGAGGCTTCCTTAATAGTCTTCCAGAGGGCCAAAGTCAGGCACGAGGGAGGTGCTTTTAAAAACAAGAGCTGGGAAAAAGTAAATAAATAAACAAACAAACAAACAAACAAATAAATAAATAAAGCATGGCACAGCTAGGTGGCACAGTGGATACAGCACCGGCCCTGGATTCAGGAGGACCTGAGTTCAAATCTGACCTCAGACACATAATACTTACTAGCTGTGAGACCCTGGGCAAGTCACTTAACCCCCATTACCTAACCAAATTTAAAAAAACAAAAACAAAACAAGAGCTGGTAAATGGGCTGCCTGTGGAGGTAGCAATGTCCTTCAGGTCACTGGCAACATTTGAGGTGATCATCTGTTGGGTGGGATTCCCATAGGAAGCACAAATTTGGGCCAGAGGAGTTTATTCTCAGGTCCCTTCTAACCAAGTCGGAGATGTGATGATGACTGACCCAGTTTAAGTCACCCCAACTTAGCAGGGATCCATAGCTTTTCTCTAAGGTGGGTAGTGATTGGGACATAGTGTGATCAAATACAGGGGGGTTTCACGGCATTGCTTAGTTCCTGCCATTGGAAATACTAGCGTGCAGTGGTTCTCTGGACCCTAGAAAGAAAATGACCTAAAAGCAAGAAGGGCTAGGAGAGGGAAGGGCCACAGGGGAAGACCAGACTGATGAAGAGTTGGGTTGGGCTGGGTAATCCTTCTCTGTAGTCAGGGAGCCGACTGGGGTTGCTTCAACAAGCTATACAAGTGATAGCCATGAAATTAGGGGGCAGGAGGGTGTGGGAGAGGCAGAGATTCCAGTTTCCTAATTCTGCCTTCTGGGGCCAAACAGAAAAGTCTCATCAGTGTTGCATCGGTCAGCCCTTCCAGAACTCGAAGGCAGCCACCTCCTGTCCCCCCAGCATGCCTCTTGTTTCTGATCCAAGTTCACATCCTTGCCTCACTTGGGTTGGTCTGAGGGCCTTTCTCTCTGCTTTTTCTTTTTTTCCTTTGTTTATTATGAATTTAAAAAGCACCAAACATGGAAATTTCCATGTATAAAGGAGAACAGAAAGAGAGGATTGCATATGAAATTGAGAACTACTTTTAATAGTTCTTTTTTTTTAATGTGTATTATATTTAACCTGATAGAAACAAAGCAGCCCTGCTTGTCTGCAGCCCCACTTGCATTTTTAAAAAATGTTTCCTTGATACTTTTTTCTTTCCTTCTGTGTTTTGTTTTCCTTCATGCTCACTGCCCACCAGCTCCCCTACCCTCCCCCACATGCTTCTTTCCTGCCTGCAGTCAAAGCCTTCCCACAGTGTACCGCTTGGCCAAGAGGAGATCCTTGTAGCTTTTTCTCTCTAGGCACCCTGTTAGTGTCTTTCATGAAATGGCATGCCCAGCACCAAACACAAGATTCCAGATGTAACCTGACCAGGGAAGAGGATGGAGGGCCAGTCAGTGCAGACACAGTGGGTAGGACATCAGAATTGAGAGGCAGGAAGAGCTGAACTCAAAGCTCATCTCTGACGCTTGTTAGCTATGTGACCCTGGGCAAGTCACTATACCTCTTTTGGGATACCAGAGATAATAATACTTGTACTTGTACCTACTTCATGGAATTGTCATGAGAGTCAAAAGAGATGATACTGTATGTAAAGTGCTCTACTTTAAAGCATTGTTATTATTGCTGTTCTTGTTGCTATTACTACCGTAGCCAAAGATCACATGGGCTTTTGGGGGCCACCATTTAATACTCGGCTTGCAGAACACAGCTGCCCCCAGAGAGTTTTTTCTTTAAAAATTGTTTTTCTTTATTAGCTCTCCTTCCCACTGCTGTTGCACTGAACAGTTTTTTTTTTTAAATGAAAACGAAAACCCTCATAAAAATATGCAGAGTCCAGACAAATAAGTCCCCCCACTGGCCATATGTAAAAATGTCCATCTCCTCTTTCTGCCTTTTCAACTCCTTACTGCTCCAGTAGGAAGCGAGGAGCATGCTTCATCTTCAGTCCTCTGGACTTGGGGTTTCTTGTTGCACTGATCAGAGTTCTGAGGTCACTCAAAGTTGGCTTTCTCCATAATGTTATAATTGTAGAAATTGTTCTCATTTTGCTCATTTCACTCTGCATCAGTTCATAGAAGTCTTCTCAGTTTCCTCTAAAGTTGTCCATTTCATCATTTTTTATGCTATGATAATATTCTATTACATTCATATACCATAATTTGTTCAGCCATTCTCCGGTAGGTAGGCACTCCTTTATTGTTGTTCAGTTGTTTTTTTAGTTGTTTCTGATTCTTCCTGCCCCTATTTGGGATTTTCTTGGTAAAGATACTGGAGTGGTTTGCCATTTCTCCAGCTCATTTTACAGATGAGGAAACTGAGGCAAACAGGGTGAAGTGAATTGCCCAGGGTCACACAGCTAGTAAATGTCTGAGACCACATTTGAACTCAGAAAGATGAGTCTTTCTGACTCCAGGTCTGGCACTCTAATGACTGCAGCACCACCTACCTGCCCCAGATACTCCTTTAGTCTCCAGTTTTTTACTGCTATAAACGGTTTTGTACATATGGGTCCTGTTCTTCTTTCTTTGATCTCTTTGGAATATAGGCCTAGTATTCACTGAGTCAAAAAGTATGCACAATTTAATAGCTTTGGGGGCCTAGTCCAGATTTCTTTTCAGAATGGCTAGACTGGTTCACGACTCTACCAACAGTGTATTTAAGGTACCTGTTTTCCCACAGCCCCTCCAGCATTTGTCATTTTCCTCTTTTGTCATCTTAGTCAATCTGAGGGGTGTAAGGTGGAACCTCAGAGTTATTTTAATTTACATTTCTTTAATTATTAATGATTTGAAGAATTTTTCATCTGATTATTGGTAGCTTGGATTTCTTCCTTTGAAAACTGCCTGTTCATGATAACCTTTGGCCATTTATCTATTGGGAAATGCCTCTTAGTCTTATAAGTTTGAATCAATTCCGTATATATCTTGGAAATGAGAACTTTATTAGAGAAATTTGTTGCAAAGGTTCTTTTCCCTGTTACCTGCTTCCCTTCTAATATTAACTGCATTAGAGTTGTGCCAAACCTTTTCAATTTTACATAATCAAAATGAGCTCATTTTATCTCATGTGATTATCTCTACCGTTTACTTGGTCATGAACTTCCCCCTCTTCATAGACCCAACAGGTAATTTCTTCCTTGGTGCTGTAATTTGTTTATGACATCATCCTTTGTATCCTTATATCTTAGGTCATGTGTCCATCTGGAGCTCATCTATCCCCAATATTTTTCAGATGAACTACTCTCTGCTCCTCCCTAATCTAGTATTTGTGAAGTTGATTTTCTGAAAGCAAGTGTAACCCTTTAAAGTGAATAGAAATAAATGTAATCTTAGGATACTCAGCCCAATATTTGAGTCAGCCAAGGTCATTTTGGATTCTGATTCTGTCATCTGGTATGCTTACTCTTCCTTCCAGTTTTGGGGTATCTGGAAATTTGATAGGCCTGCCATCCGTGCCTTTATTCCAAGTCATAGGTAGAAATGTTTTCTAGCAGACAGCCAAACTGAGAGCTCTGGGGCCCCTAACTGGAGACTTCCTTTCAAGTTGACATGGAAGCCTGGTTCCCCATACTCAATAGAGAAAGAGATGCCTCTGTGTCTCCTTTCATTTTCAGGGTGTTTTTTTCAAAAAGAATCAAATGACTGTGACATCACTAGGGTGTTTTGAGGTTTGCCAAGGCCTTATACACACGTTGTCTTGTTTGCACCTCCTAAGCTACCCTGTGAGGAAGGCTCTGAAGCATTATTGTCCTTTCCTAATTTTACAGATCAGGAAAGTAAGGCTAAAGTGGTGACGTGATGTACCCATGGTCACATAGCTAAGAAGTTCTCAGGATGGGATTCTGAAAAGGGACCCCACAGCACCAAGCTCGGTCGGCACTGTTGCCAGAACAACGTCTTGCTGTCTCTTCACATTATGTTGTAGTTGGATCATCGATAGGTTTGAAACTTTTTGTGGGACTTGGTGTAACGTGATGATCTGATCTGTTCCCCTCTTCCACCCAGCCCCTATCCTATTTTTCCAGCACCTTGGGCTTATCAAACACTAGACCATTACATGCATTTGGTTTGAAAGGTGGCTTTCATTGATCTGTTCTGCTCATCTACTTTTCTGGGTTTTTATCCAGTGTCCTGGCAGTTCTAACCATTCCTCCTTTAGAGTATAATTTTATTTTATTTTATTTTTTTATTTTTAGGCAACTGGGGTTAAGTGACTTGCCCGGGGTCACACAGCTAGTAAGTGTCAAGTGTTTGGTCTGAGGCCAGATTTGAACTCAGGTCCTCCTGACTCCAGGGCCAGTGCTCTATCCACTGTGCCACCTAGCTGTCCCCTAGAGTATAATTTTGTATCAGGCGGTACCCTTCCCCCATCCTTATTGTTTTTCATTCCTTGCATTGCTATTCTTTACCTTATGTTTTCCATATGAATTTTATTAAATTGTAGGAAGCATATCCCATTGGTGTTGCTTTTCATCTCTAAATTAATTTGGATAGAACTGTCAACTTTACTGTGTTAGTGCCCTTGAGCATGAATATTAACTACTTCTCCAACTATTTAGTTCTTTTTTTATTTCCATAAAAATCGTTTATAGCTGTAGTTATCGAAGGCTTGTGTGTGGCATGGAACATTAATTTCCAGATGCTTACTACATTGCTTCATCTTAAATGGTTTTTTTATCTGTTTTTCCTCCTCTGTGTTCTGTCTGGAAGGACTGACTATTTTGTGGGTCATTTTACATCCCACTGTTTTGTAGAATTGATATATTTTCTTGATTGATTTTTTTTTTTTGGCAGATTTTCTAAATAAACCATTGCATTGTCCACAAGTAGAGATAGGTTAGTCTTTTCCGATCCACTGTTTATTCTTTAATTTCTTTTTACTTCCTTACTGCTGTAACTAGCATCTCTGGAACAATGTTGAGTGATCATGGTGAGAAGAGTAGGCATCCTCCTTCACCTTGGTGTTAGTGGGAAAGTTTTCTCCAGGCTGAACACCCCCAGTCTTTCCAACTGCTGCCCCCTCCCCATGTGGCATGATCTCAAGGCCCTTTCCCCTCTTTGGCTGATCTCCAGTTTATCAAAGTCCTTCCTAAAATATGGCACCCAGACCTAAATACAAACATTCTTCTCGATGTGACCTGACCGGGTCAGAGAACATATGCTCCTTGGTCTTAGGCATAGATTTCTCTTAATGCAACTTAAGATAACATTAGCTTTCTTGGCTGCTTTATCACTATGTTGACTCATATTGAGCTTGCAGTTCACTAAGACTCCCAGATCCTTTTCCAGTAAACAGCTTTCTTACCATGCCTCTGCCATCTTATTCTTGTTTCATCTGTAAGGGGTGGGGGTGGCCTTGGTGACCTCTGAAGTCCCCTTCCAGCTTTAAAGCCATGATCCTGTGACATACGATAGGCGCTTGTTGATTGATTGGTTGGATGCCCTGGCAGTCTGGTGGGTCCCCATACTCAGTTTCTTCCCCATGCCAATCACCGTTTCTGAGCTATTGTATATTCTTAACATTACTATAATATAAAATATATGTTATCCTCAATAGTCAAATGAGCACATAGTGTGATCTATATCATCCTATGTAATAGCTCCTAAAATATAGTATCACAGAAGGTCAATAGATTGACTGAGGAAGACTCCAAGTATTAGCGTGTCCTCTGAGCTCACATGGACACGTTGTTGGTATCAGTGATGACCACTCAGCTCGGTCACTTGCTTTTTTTATTGGAGGGAGGTCTCACCTAAAAATGCTTTTGACTGACAAATGAAATCCCCCATGTAAATGCCTCAGACTCCATCTAAGGGAGGGCCGCCTGACCCAAGGGCCGAATTCACGGGAGCAATTACTGTGTCTACCTTCCTTACTAAAGAGAGACCCTCTACGTGCTTCAAGCTCTTAGATTAATAGGTTGTCAATAGTCAAAGGGTTTATAATGTTTAAGATTGTAATAAATCACAGTTAAACCTCACTTCTTACAGTGCCTTCACGGATCAAATTAAACTGAATTGAATTTTAGTCAACAGGAAATGGGAGATGCATCTGATGGTCTTAATCTTAATTAAACAGTAGCAAGCTTTTAGATCAGATGTCAAAGTAAGGAAGTAGACTAATCACATAGTTTGGTTTTGTAGGTTTTGTCGGCGGCGGCGGCAGCAGGTGTCTCTGTGGCCTTTGGAGCTCCCATTGGCGGGGTGCTATTCAGCCTGGAAGAGGTAAAGCTGGTCCCTGGCAAAATCTCTAAAGTCCCTCTGCCTTCCATGTGATCGTTCTGGTGGCCTCGTGCCTGGAGAGCTCTCTGGAGGGACTGGAGGAGGGCATTGAGGGCATTGGGACCATGAGACCCCTGACCTGTTTGGGTTCTTCACAGAAACACTTGCTGCTTGGGGGCCTGATTTGTCTTTCTCCTCTTCTCCCTTGCAGGTCAGTTATTATTTCCCCCTCAAAACACTGTGGCGATCTTTCTTCGCTGCTCTGGTGGCAGCATTTACTCTGCGTTCCATCAACCCTTTTGGGAACAGCCGGCTGGTTCTGTTTTATGTGGAGTTTCACACTCCATGGCATCTCCTGGAGCTTGTGCCATTTGTGTTCTTGGGGATCTTTGGGGGCCTCTGGGGAGCCTTCTTTATCCGAGGCAACATCGCCTGGTGCCGTAAGCGCAAGAACACCCAGCTGGGCAAATACCCGGTGCTGGAGGTCCTTGTCGTGACAGCCATCACAGGCATCCTGGCCTTCCCCAATGAGTATACGCGCATGAGTACCAGCGAGCTGATTTCCGAGCTCTTCAATGACTGTGGCCTCCTGGACTCCTCCCAGCTCTGTGACTATGTGAACAACTTCAATACCACCAAAGGGGCCAAGCTGCCAGACAGGCCTGCCGGGGTGGGAGTCTACACAGCCATGTGGCAGCTCTCTCTGGCCCTTGTCATGAAGATTCTCATCACCATCTTCACCTTTGGGATGAAGGTGAGGGATCCTTGTTTGCACAAGCTCTGCCTAGATGCCGTTACATGCTTAGGGGGCCTGCTAGGGCACTTGGGAAACACAGCTCTCCATTACCCTCCCACAACCCTTTTTGATGTGTTCTGGAGCTTGCTAGAAAATTTCCTCTCTCCACCATATGTTCCCTGCCTTGAGTTCTTATGAAAGGAGAAGCAAGTAATATGCTCTTCTTGTCTCTGTGCTCCTCATAAAGGGCAGGAGACAGCACTAGATGGCAGAAGGAATGGGGAATCCTCTGTGTTTTTGGTAAGTATATTTTGTAGCTAAGCAGCATTGGAGTGATCAGTGTGGACCCTTCCAAGGTGACCTGATATCTTCCCCAAGGATTCATGGGCACGCTTCAAGTTTGTTTTTATAGCTGAAAACCAGGACCAATTCTGTGCCTGGACAGATATTCAGACTTTTACCAACAGAAGTCAGTGTACTGTGCCTTTCTTTTCACTTCCTTTGAAAATAGCCTCACCTCTCTTTTTGACTCACACTCCAAAAGAAACAAAAAGGGAAAAATTTCAACAATCCTTCCCCTCTTAAGCCTAGCCATCAGCAAAAGCCTTTTCTACTGAGACCCTGAATTATGTCTGCATCACCTCACCACCACCACCACCCTGGGAAAATGGGAGCCAGGCAAAATAGTAAGACTCGAGAGAGAAGCTCTGTTCGCTCCAGAACATCGTCTGAGATGATATAATTCATCTCCGCCATGGATAGTTTTTACAACGTGGCTTCATTATTTAGTTTGAAATGAAGCCCAGCCATAGTTAAATGGAAGGACTGAAAGATATTCCAAAGCCAGACACAAATTATTCTGTCATTTTCTATTGACCACAAACTCTCTGGGCTAGAAGAGACCTCAGTGGCCATTTCTATCCTGGCCACCCCTACCTGCCAGGGATGTGGTAGATGGGCTACCTGGTCAGGGCTGGGTAGGACCAGATGGCCTCTGGTGACTCTTCCAGTTCTGAAAGTTTGAGCAGCCTCATGTGAGCAGTGAGGGTGTCCATGCGGCTGCCATAGCTCATGTCTAAGCACGAAGAATCGGGTACAGAAAAATATCTGCAGAGGAGAGCAGTTCCCTGTTTCTCCTTTCCTTTAGACAAGAGCTCTTTGCCATCCGTGGTTTTGGCCTCTAGTTCTCCGGTATGGAGAGCTCAGGTTCTTGCCCCACATGGCTCCCAGTTCAAGGCAAGGTATCTAGCCCAGAGATCCCAGAGATCCAGTGGTATTGGAAGGCATCTTCAAAACGAACTTTGGACTTTGGTGAAAATTCCTTTCTGGGACCACACAGATAAAATAATTGTCAGTGCTCAATTCTATCCCTGAATGGTATACAGTCTGTGTTTTTTTGAAAGTCATTCCTTATTAATCACACATTCCTTCTTTTGCAGGTCCCCTCTGGTCTCTTCATTCCAAGCATGGCTGTTGGCGCCATAGCAGGAAGACTCCTAGGTGTGGGAGTGGAACAGCTAGCTTACTATCACCATGACTGGCCCATCTTCAGTGGTTGGTGCAGCCAAGGAGCTGATTGTATCACACCTGGCCTTTACGCAATGGTTGGCGCGGCAGCCTGCTTAGGTAAAATCTCTGTGTTGGTTGGAGCCAAGTGCTGGGTATTCCATGTTACCTGCAGGTAGCAGTAGGTGGGAGCTCAGTACGGTGTACAGGCCACTACATTTGGGCCAAGTTTGCTGCCTACGGTGGGATCTGGAGCAGCTTAGGTCTGCTGTCTGGCTCAGTTTCCCCCTCTAGGCCTCAGTTGCTGCTAAGCTCTAAATCTTTGATGCCATGAAAATGAAGGTGGTGAGCCAAAGTGAGGGATTTTGAACAAACATCAACACCCTTTGTGAGTTTACGGTTTTAAAGTGCTTTCAGAAAGAATGCTTTAGATGTGTAGACATTGCTTTAGGGAGTCAGTCGGATTCACAGAATTACAAGGGGTCTGAGGGGTCATCTGGTCCCACTCTCTCCACCCCCCTCTCCCCGCATGCTTCGATGGCCGTGTTAGAACCTGAGTATGTTAGGTGCTTTTCTCAGGGGCCATCCCGCTGGCTGACAGTGTAGATGCTGCTTCATTATGCTGGGCTTCCTGGGGCTGCACATTTGCCATCATCCTGACACTCTTCTAGCCCTTATTGCTAGGTGCTCACTAAAGAGATTTTCCTGACCAAGTCACCCTCCTACTCAAGAGACTCCGGGGGCTCCCTGTTGCCTCCAGGATCAGCTATCAAATCCTGGGCGTTTAAAGACATGGAAAGCCCTTTCCAGACTGGCCCCTTCCTGCCTTTCCAGTCTCCTTCCACTTCACTCTGCAATCCTGTTGCCATGCCTTTGGACTGGCTGTGTCCCCCTCCTCACCTCCATCTTTTGGCTTTCCCGGCTTCATTGGAGACTCAGCTGACATCTTAACCTCTGAGATGATTTGCTGTCGACACTGTCTGTATCTTGTGTGCAGATTGTCGCTTGCATGTTGTCTCTCCCGTTAGAATGTAAGCTCCTTGAGGACAGGGTCTGCTTCATAGCTCAAGTGGTTGGCACAGTGCCTGCCTCGAAGTAGGTGTTCAATAGATGTTTGTTAATTGACTAAATTGATTTTTCCTAATGAGGCCCTCATGTATTTATACAAATATTATACTTTTCAGGTGGAGTGACTCGTATGACTGTGTCCTTAGTTGTCATCATGTTTGAACTCACGGGTGGCCTGGAGTACATCGTGCCCCTAATGGCTGCAGCCATGACCAGCAAGTGGGTGGCAGATGCCATTGGGCGGGAGGGCATTTATGATGCCCACATTCGCCTCAATGGATACCCATTCTTAGAAGCGAAGGAAGAGTTCACCCATAAGACTCTGGCGATGGACGTGATGAGACCCCGTCGCAGTGACCCAACGCTCATGGTCCTCACACAGGACAGCATGACCGTGGAGGATGTGGAGACACTAATCAGCGAGACCACCTACAGCGGCTACCCAGTGGTTGTCTCGCGAGAATCTCAGAGGCTGGTGGGGTTTGTCCTCAGGAGAGACCTCATCATCTCAATCGGTAAGGGGTGAGAGGGCTGAATGTTCTTGTTGGAAAATGTGGTTTCTCATAAGTAGGCACGTGTTTTGTTCCGTGATAATGTTGGTGACTGTGATGTGGTAAGTGTTTGAGAACACGCTGTTTGGGGTGTATTCTGAGTAATTGAACCCTAACATACCACCTCGAGATACGGAGCAGGTTAGCCTCAGATAACTCAAGGACTAAAATGGGCCTGTGAGAGTGATACTCTCTGTCGCCCTATCACCGCAGCCTTCAGCTTCACCTAATTCTAAATATTCAGATTTGGAAGAGCTGGGGTTGAATCCTAGCTCTGACGCTTCCTTGCTGTGTGAACATGGGCCTGGTCATTTTCCCTCTCTGAGCCTCAGCTTTCTCATCTATAAAATGGGGCTAATTACCCCCATATGCCTCCCTCAAGGGGTGGTTGTATAAATATTAAAGCCATACAAATGTGAGTTCTGATTGGATCTCTCTTCTCAAAAAAATCTCAGGAGCTCCCATCACATCCTGAGGTATGTATTCCTCAGCCTGACATTCAGCCTGACTCCAGCCTCCTTTTCCATCCCCATTGTGTTCTTCCCCTTCATGGGGTCTAATACAAAGTATGGTGTGTTCTGGGCACATTTCCTGATCATTTGTGCAGCTCTTGCTACCAGGAGTGCCCTTCCCCACCCCCGCTCTGTTCTTCTGATTCCTGCCCCTTTACTCACGTGGCCTTTACACCACGTGCCATCTCCTCTGTGAAACCACCTAGACCCTCTTCGTCCAGTGAGCCCGGGCAGCCCTGGAAACAGTTAAAGGCCTTTACGGGACCTGAACCTTGTGCCTTATGTCCCTCACGTCACAGTTATCTCTGTACGTGGCCTCTCTTTCTCCTGCTGGGAGCAGGGGCCATGTCTTAACCAAGATCTTTCTGTCTCTTAAAGCACCAGGATACAATAGGTGCCAAATAAGTGTTGAATGACCCCATTTAAATCTGAATTAGTGGTTCTCAGCAGCATGGTCCAGGGGAAGGGGGCCAGGATTTGGAGTCCAAAGAACATTGCTTCAAATCCTGGTTCTCCTTCTTTGTACCTGTGTGACATTGGGCCAGTTGCTTGACGCCCTGGACCACCGAGGATATCTAAAAGACATTTCTTACCAAAGAAAATGATAGAAGCCAGTTGTGTGAGGCCATGTTGATGGACAAAGCACTCCCAACACTTTATTACACATGTGCTTCGTTTGTTTGTTTGTTTGTTTGTTTGTTTTTTTTTTTTCATTTTTCAAATAGAAAATGCTCGGAAGAAGCAGGATGGCATTGTGAGCACATCCATCATTCATTTCACGGATCATTCACCTCCACTGCCCCCACATGCTCCCCCGTCACTCAAACTTCGCAACATCCTGGACCTCAGCCCTTTCACAGTGACAGACCAAACACCCATGGAGATTGTGGTGGACATATTCCGAAAACTGGGACTTCGCCAGTGTCTGGTCACACACAATGGGTGAGCATGTCTGTGTAAGGTCAGAGATTTGAATCTGGTAGAAGGGAGATGTGTATCTGGGTAAGCATGTTGAGGGATGAGAGGAATCCCATGAGGGTAACGGCATTCATTGGCCAGAGAGACAGACTTCACATAGTCCAACAAAATGGTGGCGATGGGAGCTTGGTGTCCTTACTGTAGAAATGCTCCCCTGCCACCGAGATACAGCTCCCTGTTGCCTATTCAGTGGTCCTGCTCAAGACTGTGAGGAATGAATGCACAGAGAGAGAGAAATGGAAAGCAACATTTGCTCCCTAAATTACCTTCAGGGGTACAAGTCATTGTCTTTAAGAGTTGGGAGTGGGTGGGGCAGCTAGGTGGCACTGCAGGGGATAGAGCACCAGCCCTGAAGTCAGGAGGACCTGAGTTCAAATCCAGCCTCAGACACATGATACTCACTAGCTGTGTGACCCTGGGCAAGTCACTTGACCCTGACTGCTGCAAAACAAAACAGAACAGAACAAAACAAAACAAAAAACAAAACAAAACAAAAAAAACCCCAAGAATTGGAAGTGGGAGCAATGGGCATTACTGCCCTGTTTGCTGCTTGTGCCCAGGTGGCTTTCTCCTTCCTCTCCAATGCCCACGGGCATGTTTGGGTCTTTAAAAAATAGGCTTCTAGCCCATAGTAGCCTTCTTAGGCCTTGTGCTAGTAGCATAGGCTAGTGAGTGCTATACCCCAGAACCAGGGGACAAGGGGGACTGACTGCTGATGGAGCAGAGGTGGGGATGGTGTTTTTTCTTGACTTTTGTATTTACGTTCTAGGAGGCTCCTGGGAATCATTACCAAAAAGGACGTATTGAAGCACATAGCCCAGATGGCGAACCAAGATCCAGATTCCATACTTTTCAACTGAAGTCCCGAGCCTCACTGGGAACGCGACACCCAGAAGATGTGACGCCGGCACTGTTGTTTAGAAAACCTGTGTACCCGCTGCAGTGACTGGAGCATTTCCCATTTGGGAAGGAGGCTGATAATCATGTGTTGTTTGGGACTGCCCTCTCAGCTCACCCGTTGCACTACAGAATCTTCTCTTTTAGGAGAGCATGCTCCTACAACGCAAAGATTTCATGAAGGAGTAAAAGAAAATTGCCATAGGAGAATGCTCTTCCTTTCCCTTGTGCTCCCATCCCGCTCTTTTCCCTCCCCCCTCTCCTCCCCTCTCCCCCCCCCCTTTCTTTTTCCTTTCCTCCCCTTTCCTCCCCTTCTCTCGCCTTCCCTTGCCCCCTCCCCTTTTCTCCCCTCCTCTTCCCTTCTGTCCCCTTCCCTTCCCTCTTCTCTCCTCTCCTGTCCTTTCCTTCTTTTTTTTTTTAGTAAGATCTTTATTTTTTTAACTTTGGTAACTAATGATTAGCCAGCTTAGCCATCACTAAAACCTCTGCAAGGAACCTCTTGGCCTTTGTGGCCCTCTACACTGTCTTCTGGCCCTCTTGGAGGTCTAGACCTCCAAACTTGGACTTTACTTGGTTTACTGACAGGAAAACCGAAAAGTCCCATGGGATTCTCCCTAGATTAGGGGAAAGGGGGGGGGGGGGGCTTCATCTCACAGCAGGTGGTCTTATGCCTGTTAAACTATTTAATGGGATTCCAGATTTTTGCTATCCCCATATATAGGGTGTAGGCGGGAGAAGGGAAACTCGCCAGCCTTTCTTTGTGTGAAATTCCCAAATCCTCCCAGAATGCTGCTTGATTTGACCTCTTGCTTCTGTAGCTTACTCGTTTACTTGTCGCTCACGCTCCTTATATCAAGAGCAAAAATGTTATACTGCTTTCTCTTTGCCTGCAAAAAGATTCACTATTAATCAGCTAGATTTGGAAACAGTAGCAAAGAATGATTTCTTACATGTTCCTGAAACAAATGCTATGTGAGAATTGATTCATTAAAGGACACAGGGAAAAGAAAAGCCTTAGCGGAGATGTGATAGGTACCTTCAGGTGTTTGAAGGTCTTTTCATGTGGAAACGGGATGGAACTTTCCCAGCAATGGGTGGAAAACACAGACAGGCAGTTTTAGGGTTGATGTGTTTGGAAAAACCTCTTAACTGTGAGAGCTGGGCTTAAATGAAATGGGTTGGCCCAAGAAATGGTGGCTTCTGCCTTATTAGTGCCCACTTGTGGGGTCCTTGGTCAGGCATGGACTAGTCTGGTTGGACGAGATGTACTTAGAAGTCCTGGAGGTTCTGTGGTTTGGGGTCACAGCTCTAAGGTCAATTATAGCCACATAGGACTCAACTGCTGTCTCCAAAAGTGAGGGTACGTGATCCAAGTCACAAGGACTAGGTCACTTGGTCCCCTCACCTGTGTCCACTGGGCTTTCTAAAACTCCAGATATGTTCAGGCATTTGGACTGGGCCTGTCATAGACCCTGCAGGGAAACCATGGGTCCTCTAAAATTCCCGATGATCCAAGTTGGAACCCCCCAGGCAATCCCATAAACTCCCAAAGCTCCCCTGGGCTCCGTGAGGGTGGCACCCAAAGGTGGTACAGTAAAAATCAATGGTCCTTTAGAATCCTGTGGGGATCAGGTGCTGAGCAGTAGAGTTAAAGAGCCCCCAATCATTTCGTTTACTGTTCTGGGGGTTTTGCTTCCCTTCATTTTATCCACATGCAGCTCTCCCATCTGCTGCCCTTCAAACAGCTCGGGACTGAACCCTATGGGATTCAATACTATGACTGACAGAAAGCACTCCCAAAAATCCCTCCTAGGATTATGCACATGTACCAAAGATGGCGTACACTCTGCTTCTCTTTAGTACACAGACTGATTCCTCCCACGTTGGGCAGGAAGACAATGGCCACCATGTCCCCACTTTCCTTCTCATAAGTTGCCCTGTATGACTGGAGTTCACTTCATTTCCAAACATGTACACCCCCCCCCAAACACATGTATGCACACACACACACACACACACACACACACACACACA